GAGCTTATTTTAATTTTCTTCTTCATTCCTAACAAAGCATGCTCAAACCCTGGGAGAAGCCCAGGGCCCAACAAAGCCCCTGCTTGGCCCACAATCATACCATAAAGGGACCCCTGGGCCCTCCAGTAGAAGCACTCATTGTTTTTCCCATAGAGAAGGGAGGTATTTTTAACACAGTATTAAAGTAAATGAGATTACTTTGTTTTCTCCCACAGCGGAGTCCAATAAAACGTTTGCCTGCTATTCTACCGAATTCACAGATAATCCGGTTGTACTTCCAGTAATTAAATTATTCCTTGGTGCCGAACAGTTGGTAAGTTTCCAATTGTACACACCTTTTTACAGTTTATGACCCGTGCATAGAAAATGCACAGTGTGTTTTAATGTGTATACAAATATGCATACTGTAATCTTTTAAAATGTATTTTTCATATGCATATGGAAATATTGTGCCTATTACACTAATTTATCATGAATGAGCATTTTTACAGATGGTATTTTATTACAAAAAGGGAAGCATTTTATAAACTACTTGAGGCATAATCTGGCTAAAGTTAAGCACTCTGAAGTTTCATTTAATTGAGTTCAGTGGTATAATTAAGCACATAATTAAATCTCTTCCAGTGACATCAAACTGGAAAGCATATTTAGCATCAGCTGAACAATCACTTAGAAAGTTTATTTAAAACCATTTCGAGATATTTTGCAGGTATATTATGCATCTTATGAATGGTTGCAAATGGAAGGCCATGGCTTCCTTTATTAAGTGAATCCATCTCACGTTGGGTCTTTCAGTTTTCCTCCTGCCTTCAACTTTTAATTCATAGGGTCGCCATAAGTCAGAAATAACTAGATGGCACTTAAAACACACACATGAATGAAGATGCAGTTTCATGTAGTGGTTAAGAGCAGTGGACTCTAATCTGGAGAACCGGGTTTGAGTCCCATCTCCTTCACATGCAGCCAGCTGGGGGACCTTGGGTCAGTCACAGTTCTCTCAGAGCTGTTCTCTCAAAGAGCAGTACTCTCAGAGCTCTCTCAGCCCCACCTACCGCACAGGGTGTCTGCTGTGGGGAGAGGAAGGGATGGGGATTGTAAGTAGGGTTGCCAGCAATGCTCCCTCTAAGCTGTGGAGTCTTGTGAGCAAAAATTCTACTTTGTGAGTTACTGGCATTAAAGTTGTGAGCAAGCGATTTGGCTACTGCATAAATTAGTTTGCTCTCTAGAGCCATCCTTCCTGAGCTAAGACAAAAATGTGTGAGCCGGAGGGTAAAAAACTGTGAGCTAGCTCACACTAACTTAGCTTAGAGGGAACACTGGTTGCCAGACCCCTGGCCCCGGCGTGGTTTTTCCTGATTTGGGGGGCTCTTTCCCACCGCCAGCCAGCTGGCTGATGGAGGAAGCCCTGCCCACAAAAGCAACCACCCAGCCACCCCTACTGCAAGATTTAAAGGGCTCTCTTGCTGGTCCTTTAAATCTTGCAGGAGGGAGAGAGGAAGATGGATGGCCATGTGTACCTGCACTCCAAGTTGCAAATTCATAGCTTGAAGTATAGGCACACATGGCCTTCCCCCACCTCTTCCCAACAGCATTTAAAATGACCCTTTAAATGCTGTTGGAAAGAGGTGGGGGCTGCGCATCTGCACTCCAAGCTGCGAATTCATGCAGAGCTGCCTCCCCCCACCTATTCTGAACAGCATTTAAAGGGTCCCAGTTGGGAACAGGTAGGGGCTGGGTGCCTGCTCTCTAAGCTGCGAATTCATGGCTTGGAGTGTAGGTCAAGTGGGGGGGGCTGCCTCTTGCCAAAAGCATTTAAAGGGACCCTTCACCACAACACTTAACAGCAAGACTGAATAAAATAATTGACCCCCTAATACACCCTGATCAATCCAGATTCATTGCAAATAGATCTCTATCTGATAATACCAGGAAAATATTAAACAGTATACAATATTGCCAACATCATAAAATAGATTAATCATTTATTATTTCCATCGACATTGAAAAAGCCTTTGACAAAGTGGAACCAAGCTACTTAGAACAGGTACTAGAAACTTTGGGTTTTGGCCACAATTTCAAAAGCGCTGTACACACCCTATATATGTCACCTATTGCACAGCTTAGGATAAATAACTCTACTTTGGAAACCTTTCATCTATCTAGAGGTACAAGGCAAGGTTGCCCACTGTCACCATTGCTGTTTGCCATTGCTATAGAGCCCTTGGCACTGGGCAGGTTGTAAATTTAAGTCCTCTGGTTACCGGGGAGGTTTCCCACCGCCCATAGTTAAGGGAGGGGGAGCTTTGTTTATTATCTGTTGCTTCCCTCGTTGCTGTCTTAGCTTATCTCCCTTATAAATAAAAGCCGAATGGTGGTGGCACTTCTCTAGAACATTCCACGCGCTCCAAAATCAGTTCGCTCTCTGATCTGTCATTCAGAGGGTCTCCCTATCCGCTGGCTGCTTTGCCTGAGTCCTTCCTCCAACATTCTAAACATTTTGCTGTTCCTCTCCCCCCCATAGCCAGTGAGAACACAGAGGTTGTTTGCATATGCAGCCTCATTGGCCTCTGCCTCGGAACACAGAGGTCGTTTGCATATGCGACTTGATTGGCTTTTGCCTCTAACATTCTAAACAGTTTACTCTTCTGAGGTAAAATGTGTCCAATCTCCAGGTGAGGGCTGGAGATCACTCAGAATTACAACTGCTTTCCAGACGGCAGAGATCAGTTTCCCTGGAGAAAATGATGGGCTCTGTATCCTTATATGCTGCTGAGGTGGCCCCCATGTGACAGCCAATGTGACGTAGCAGTCAGGGCTTTAGAGCACGGGAGAGGCTGCA